CCTTCAAAGCTCTCAAGGACACATTACAGAGCATAAATAAAAACAAGCAACACAGAAAGTCAAACAGTAATTCGAGACTTAAAAAATAAAGAATTAAAAACAACAATCAGTTTAGAGGAATTATGATATTGAATACCCCAGTTTAAAAAGGTGGGTTTTCAGGCAGGATTTGAAGATTGAGTGAGTCCATATTGCGGATGTCTTGTGGGAGAGAGTTCCAGAGACGGGGGCAGAGTGGCTGAAGGCTCTTGACCCCATTGTTTAAATACTGGTATGATTATTTAAACCAGAGAACATAGCTTTGTAAAACAGTGCTACCCTCATTTTAAGTTAAGTTGTTGTCGCCACAGTTCCAGCCGTTGGTCTGCAGTGGAACGGACTACGTCAATTTCTAAACCAATATAATTATTTTGAATCAATATTGTGAGTCGTTGGTTTATTTAGTATTCGCGTCGAGACGCCGGTTGACCATGACAGTGTTCTTTTTTCATTAATGACCGTTTCAATGCACATTATCCCTTACTTATACAGTATGTCACGTATTCCAAAATGTCTTTTTACAGCCCTAAAGGATAAGATGTACTATTGCTTTCAATAAAAGATGGCCATGGTGTGCAGGCATCACATGAGCTGCATTCAATTCCCAGTGTGTTGTGTTGTGAGAGAAACATGCTGCCCAGTAGCTGCCAACATGAAAGTAAGGTAAAGCACAGAGGTAAAGCCTAGAAATCAGTATTTAAAAAAACACCGTTACACAAAAATGTTTCAAACAGTGAAACAAGCAAAAGTAGTGTGGGATCCTGGGTGCAAGCCGAAGGGACTATTCAGTGGACATTTACATTTCCGCAGCATCTGTAATAAACATGAACAGCTAGAACATCTCCTCCTTGAGTCCAATATTGACTGTTTGGGAATATCGGAATGTTAGCTAAAACAGTCGTCACCATCCGCTCTTGTATGTCAGGATATAATGTGTTTAGGAAGGACAGACTGAAGGGAAAAGGAGGGGGTGTGTTGCTTTATGTGAGGAATACCATTACTTGTAGGGAGACTGACCTCCCAGCTAATATTGAGTTTGATTGTGTTGGTGTGGAAATCACACTGAGGAAATGTCCCTCAATATTATTTGCCTATATCGACAACCCACCGCTAAGGTGGATTTCTATGATCAGGTAAAACTCATGCTGAATTCCTGTGACTCCAACTAAGAGCTAATTATTTTAGGAGACTTTAACATAAACTGGAATGAGAAACAAAATAGAAAGAAATTAAAACGGATCATGGATAAACACAACTTAATACAACTAATGGATCAACTGACTAGAACAGGGGTCTGTAACCTTTTTGACCAAAAGAGCCATTTTGCTCCTTTTTCCAAAACATTTTTTTGTCTGGAGTCGCAAAACATATTTCATAGTTTTTTATTGTTATATCAGACAAAAACAACAGTTTTTTTGCATTTATTAGGCTATTTATTACATGATATAAAACTGTTAACCTCTAATAAGAAACAAAGAACTCTTATAAGGAGAATTAAAAATAATACACAGGCCTACTTTAAAATAAATTAAACACAGCACTTGGGGAGTCGTCTGCACATTTGAAGAAAAAAAATATTATTAAAATGGGCCCACTTTGAAATAAATAAAACATAGCTGCACCCTAAAAAGAGTTAAAGGTAGGGTAGGTAAGAATGGAGAAACCAGCTCGAGTGCGCTAGAATTTGAAAATACACAACCGGAAAAAATATGCCTCTTCCTTCAGGCTTGAGTCCTTCCTCAAGGTCAAGGTCCATCGTAAGGAGGCCGTAGAGGACCCCTGTGCGCATCGTGCCGTATGAAGACGTGCTCTGCCGAGCGGAGATCCGCAGGAACCCGGGACATCTGAGTACCATGTTGAGCAATGGGAATCGGAGCAAAAGCCTCGGCGGTGTCCTGCACACCAGGGAACCGATGTGTCAGGGAGGAAATCCCCTGGAACTCTCAGCGGCTGACCGTAGACCATCTCAGTCGTGGAACACTGCAGATCTTCATTGGGCGCGGTCCGCAAACCCAGCATTACCCAAGGCAGCTTGTCGACCCAATTGCCGTCCTTCAGGCCGGCCCTGAGTACTGCCTTCATGGAGCGGTGGAAACGCTCACAGAGGCCGTTAGCCTGAGGGTGATAAGCGGTTGTCCTGTGAAGCTTAACCCCCAGACCACACGCCACGGTGTTCCAGAGCTCAGACGTGAACTGCGAACCCCGGTCAGAGGAAATGTCCGACGGGGTGCCAAACCAACACACCCACGTCGCAATGAAAGCTCGGGCTATGTCAGCCGCCGACGTCGACACGAGAGGAACCGCGGGTATAGTCCAGGCCCAACTGGACGGCCCAGATGATGACCCTGGAGAGGCAATCTGCGACCAGGTTCAATTTGCCAGCCACGTGCTTAATGTCTGGTGAACTCCGAGATGTAAGAGAGCTGCCGCTGCTGATGTGCAGACCAAGGCTCTGCCACTTTTGACATGGCGAACGTGAGCGGCTTGTGGTCGACAAACGCCGTAAATTCACGGCGTTCCAGCAAAAAATGGAAGTGCCGCACGACCAGCCAGAGTCCAAGGAGTTCTCGGTCAAAAGCGCTGTACCTGCGTTCCCTGGGCGTCAGCTGAGGTGCACCGCACCAACGGCGTAGTCCGATGCGTCTGTGGTAATGGAGATGGGAGCCGTGGATGATGGGTGCGCCAACAGGGCCACCAGAGCCAACGCGGTCTTGACCTCCGTAAAAGCAGACTCAGCTTCCGCCGTCCAGTCGAACGCCTGGATTAGCCCAAATGGACCAATCCGTGGAGCACCTCACACACCAGGATCCCTTGGCTAACTAAAAGGGAGTCCCAATTGACTTGCATAGAGCACCCTGAACGCTGGTAATAGACGAGTTGGGATCGCGGGGAAATGCTCTCCGCAGACCCATTCTCACAGCGTTATAAACCTTTTTCTTACTCAATATCAAGCCACACGTATTGTTTTTACTTCGGCTGTGTGTGTGTGTGTGTGTGTGTGTGTGTGTGTGTGTGTGTGTGTGTGTGTGTGTGTGTGTGTGTGTGTGTGTGTGTGTGTGTGTGTGTGTGTGTGTGTGTGTGTGTGTGTGTGCGTGCTCAGGATGAGTTTCGCTTGTTCTCGCTGTATCGCCGACCTGGAAACCTGTCCGCTCCTCGCAGCAACGAGCCTCGCAACGCCCCGACCAATCAGAGCACACTGGGCTCACAGGGGGGGGCAGGAGCTCCAACAAGCCGTTTAGGACAGAGAGTGAATACCTGGTGAATACTATACAGAGATGGTGTATGAGAAACCAATGTGATTTTGGAAAATTGCACAATTTAAATCAGACCTCAACAATGGAAATATGATCAGTAGAAATAGCCATGACATGGGACATTTAAGTCTTGGACCAAACCCATGTAATTTTCCCTCCCACAGACAAACATGAGACCAAGCTGAAGGAAAAACTAAGGTTTGTAGTGGATGGACTCTGACAGCTTTCCTCTCATTTATTTTCACACTTTATTTGCTTTCCTCATGCACTCTCTTTCATTTAAAACTGCACATTCTGCTGTTTGCTTCTTCTCCTCAGTTTGTGCTTTTGCTTTGGCCGGCTGCTGTCACAGGAGGGATTTTTCAACTTGAATATGACCAGTGTATGTATGAGCCTTTCTGTTCTCTCCCTTTTACCCCTAACTGAACCCTGTGTGTCCAAACCAAACACTGCATATTGTGATAGAGGGAAACAGCCTGATGATGCATGGTTCAGATCTGTGTTTTGTTACCTCAGACACAAACCTTAGTCTTGTGTGAAAATGTAGTGTTCAATCCTGTTTGATCCCTTTGTCCATCCCAGTGTTGCCAGTGTAAACGGATAAAGTGGTCCCGCCTCCAAAGCTTTATCCAGTTCTCTTTATACATCCATGGCAGCTAGTTCACTGGCATTATTGAAACTGATGGGGGGAATTCACAGATAATTGATTGCGGCCGCTGTTAGCACTATGGGTTGTGCATCGTTTGCAACCGTTTTTTAACCGTCTTAAGATCACATAAAAGAAAAGGAAAAACAATAATTTTACAAATAACAAAGTTTTCCAAAAGTAAGTCAACGTGTGATATGATGCAAACCCCTGGAACTGTGGTTATCAATTAATTTGACTATTTTTAAATATATAATTAGCCTTTTTTTTATCGTAGTCGTTTGAACTAACAAAACTGTTCAGTCGACTTTTATTTAACGTCACTGAATTGGAAGTGTTAAAGACCCCTGCTTTGAATCCTCACTGAGTGGAGGCTTGCATGCATGAGAGCGGATACAAAAAATATCTTCAGCTTTAAAAGACTGTCGTCAAGTGTCGATCATCACGTTGTGAGTCTATAGACGGTTTGTAGTAAACAGATTCCGTATGCCGTTTGTTTTGTAGAAGCAGACGACAAACTGTGATTTTCAGAGCATGTGGAACTCACTAGTTTCATGTGTCGGGACAGTAATGAAAATGTATGGTTGTGGTGCCTGAGATGTTACACGTTTACTATTGAAAAAGAAGACTAGTGAAAAGACCTTAATATATTCTGTCCCCTTGCCTTTACTTCCCCTTCTACGGAAGCCCCGAGATAAGTGAGAGAAAAAATGTGATCAATGTTTTTTACAAATGACTTTTTCTCTCCGGTGTCTATAATTCAAAAAAAAATCTGAAAAGAAGTTGCCTCTAGGCTTCCGTAAACACTGCACAGTTAACATGTGCAAACCAAACTATTCAACTCTGGCAAGGCTGCTAAATCATGTCTGTTGATAGTAGCTGGTATATACATTACTGTTGTAATATGTCGAGAAGAAAGGAAACTCAATATACTGTAAAGAGGATGCCTGAATGAAAAAAATAATATTACTATTGAAATGAAACAGTGTTATATGAAAAAGACAATTTGTACTTATTTTTGTCATTTTAGAAATTTTATTGTTGATCAGTTACATTGCAAATTATGGTAGTGATGTATCAATCTTTTTTTATTTACTGGTACAGCAGAACACACAGTATAACACACCACACTCACCAACAACTGTCTCTCAGAAATTAAATCCTGGATGCAAACAAATTACCTTCAACTGAACAGCGACAAATCAGATATTATCATAATCGGACCCACATCCCGCACCAACACCACCCAGAACTTCAACCTCACCCTTGACAACGCCACACTAACCCCCTCTACTCATATTCGCAACCTTGGAGTCATTTTTGACAGCCAGCTCAAATTCGATAAACACATAAACCACATCACCAGGACTGCCTTCTTCGATCCTCAGCCCCTCACTCTCCTTCCCGGCTGCTGAAACCCTCATCCACGCATTCATCACTTCAAAACTGGACTACTGTAACAGCATCCTGTATGGCTCATCATCCAACATTCTAAATAAACTGCAATATATCCAGAACTGCTAACACACAAAGTTCTCAACGACCAGCCCCCCCCCCTACCTCACCGACCTGATCCACCACCACACCCCTTCCCGCAGCCTTCGTTCATCAGAAGCGAACCTCCTTTCTATCCCCACATGAACCAAGCTCCGAACCTGGGGGTACAGAGCCTTCTCCATCGCTGCCCCCACCCTCCGGAACTCCCTTCCACAACACATCAGAGACTGCATCGACACCTCCACCTTCAAAACACTGACCAAAACACACCTCTTCAGACTGGCTTTTAATTTGTGAATTATGTTGTGTTGCTGTTTTAATATTGTTGTTATTCTATTATAATATGTGTTGCTGTTTTAATATTTTTTTATTGTATTATATCTCGTTTTATCACCACTGTAAAGCGCCTTTGAGCACCTGAAAAGGCACTTGTAAATTAAATGTATTATTATCATTTTTGTTCCTAAAAAGGTGGAATTCACTCAATAAAACAAAGCTAAAACAGTTAAAAGGAGTAAAAACTAATGAAGACAGTCTAAGAAAAAAAATGAACATCGAGAAGTTTCTTTCTCCGACGCATTGATTCTGCCAAGTGAGTTACAGCTCGTTGATGACGTCACCTGGAAGAGAAAACGTTGTGTTATTTACCTGTGGACTACACATTTACCGTTTCAATAAGACACTTACAGAAACCCTAGTTTTGAGTTCCACTTGGCACAACAGTAAGAATGAAGTCATCACAGATCTTAACAATGTTACTTACTCTGCACAGGGGGAGCTGTACTCAGTGACCGCCTCATCACCTGCAAATATCAACACAAACATCAGAAACAGGGCGAGTAATACGAGGGAGGAAATACTGTGTCGTTGTTTGGAAGCCATGAGAAGTTAGTAATAACATTTGTTTTCCCTTTGCTGTTTTTATGACTTAGGAAAACCTTTGCTAGGAAAATGTTTTACATTTCTATTTCTTATTTTATCTGTGACAGAAGTCTTACCAGGTGAAATTAAAAGTTGGCCAGGATAAAACATTTTTAGGATGTGTTGTTGTTATTCTTATTTTGGGCTCAAGAGGCAGGAAGTGAACCATATGAATCAGACATGTTTCCTTTCAGGTATATGCTCCCTGTTTTTAGAGTTCTTGGAAAAAAACTCAGGTTAAAGAAAACACGAGTGCTTTTAGTTAAAAGATCTGTTTATGGATCGAAAAAGATGAAAAATCATTCTGGCAAAATTAATTTCCACCTCGTTTTCACAAATGACAACATTTTAATATTGTTTATCTTTGAAAGATTTTCATAGCATACCTTTTCTCATAAAGTGTTCTTGTCTCATAAAGACAGGCGAGAAAACAATATAAATCCAAATTATAAAATGGATCACAAGGGGAAAAAATAATAAATCTTGCCTCTCAGGGCTTCCGTACATTTAGTTAACTTAAAGAAACTGAGCATCACATACATTACAAACTAAGTAACTACGAAGCTCTTACTTGTCTGGTAGTAATCGTAGACTTTGACCACAGCTGGTTTCAGATTCCTGACAGGAACATCCTCCTCCAGTGTCACACTGTATATCAGCGTCTCATCCTTTTTCAACTGCAACCACAAAAGAACAAACTCATACTTTACTATTTACTTTATCACAAGCTCTGCACACAGGTCGTAATGGTTTAAATAAATGATATAAAATAAAGGATTAATTCATGCATATCTGAGGCACACAGTTGGTGCTTCCTACCCCCGTCTAAGTAGATGTTGATGTATCCTTCGTCCAGATCCACACGCTTCACTGAGCGGTCGCTCTTCAGCTAAAAATAAGCACAGAACACACAGCCATCAGTATACACCAATATAAAAATATATTATGTAGTATGAATTTGCTACAGTCTAGTACTGCACAGACTACATGTGTATTAAAGTATCTAAACATGTGCTATTCAGTGGAAGAACTTACCAGCTCCAGGGAGCTCTTATCCAGAATGTATCCAGACAGCAGCTTGATGTTGATGATCACCATGTTGGTTTCCTCTCTCCTGCCCTGGTACCTACACACACACACACACACACACACACACACACACACACACACACACACACACACACACACACACACACACACACACACACACACACACACCACACACACACACACACACACACACACACACACACACACACACACACACACACACACACACACACACACACACACACAGCACACACACACACACACCACACCACACACACACACACACACCACACATCACACACACACACACACACACCACACACACACACACACACACACACACACATCACACACACCACACACATCACACACACACACCACACACACACACACACACACACACACACACACCCACACACACACACACACCCACACACACACACTACACACACACACACACACACCACACACACACACACACACGATAACTAACTTTGTTTTTTACAGTTCAAGGAGCATTGAGATGTTTTTTTTGGTATGATTGAATATTTGCGACAATATTTGTACCAACATATACAGTGGAAGAAATAATTATTTGATCCCCTGCAAATGTTTTAAGTTTGCCCACTTTTTGACACACAATATCAAAAAGAAAATCCAGAAATTGACATTAACTAAAAGATAAACATTGATGTGCTGTGTGAAATAAGTATTTGATCCCCTTGCAAAACATGTCCCATGGTGGAGAGGTTTGAATCTGATTGATTGATTCTGTGGACAGGTGTCCTTTATACAGGTAACAAGTTGATATTAGGAGTCTTTTTTAAAGGAAAAGGACTTCTGTAAGCGGTCTGTGGGAGCCAGAATCCTTGTTTGTTGCAAGGGGATCAAATACTTATTTCCCACAGCAAATACATTTATTTCTCTTATATGATGAACATTTCTGGATTAAATAAACCTACCATTAAAATGATAGACTGTTCATTTACTTGTAAGTGCGTGAATTTACAAAATCGGCAAGGGATCAAATTATTATTTCCTTCACTGTATTACTGAAACTAAAAGGTTTCCAATCTCTATTACAGCTAACACACACACTGTACCTGACATGCACAAAGAGGATGAGCTGGGGCCTTTTGATGTTGCACTTGGTCTTGGTGTTAGTGGTGATGTTGAAGGCAGAGAAGTCGGGGGGAGGGGGGATGTTGTAGTGCATGGAAATCTGAGAGAGACAAGTCATCACAGTCAATACACAGTACAAAGGAACAATACGCTTTGATCAAATATTTCAGTAACTTAAAATAAAAAACACATCTGTAGCATTACAATATCATATACTGCTTTTACTTCTTAGTTTACGTCAATTTTAGCCCTTTGTGTCGCGAGGCTCTTCTTTTTCTCGTCCTTCGAGGCCCCCGTACCAAGACCCCAGTACCCAAGTGCGCCGGACGCTCATGCAAATATTCGTAGTGGCCAAACTGTGGTTCTACAACTTCTGCATCATTGGGCCCAATATTACTTTTCCCCATTGACTTACATTGGGAAAGAGATGTCTGTAAATCAGCGGATCATTTAAAAATAAATAAATAAACAAACCAGTATGAACACTTGTATAGCCCATATTTGAATCATTAGGGTTTTAAAATGTGTAAATTTGCTAAAACCTGAATTCAGTTTGATTTTCTCTCTCCATTCTACTGAGCAGAGAGAGGGAGATCGGGGGTGGGGCTTAAGGAGAACTCAAGTGCGCATGCTCTATGAGCGTACATACGGGCACTTTGCTCTCGACAGGCGGGCATGATGGGTCATTTGGGACTTTTGCTCTCGAGAGCATCAGACCATTTGGGCTCCATGCGCCACTGAGCAACTCTCATAGGAATGAAGGAGGCCCCTCCTCCGACGCAGTATCCAGTTATCTTTATACACCCATGCCCCGTACCTGTGCCAGGACGCAGCTCTGGCCCTGGGCCCTGATGGTGTATTCTCCGGGGACCTCGCTCAGCTTCTGCTCCTGGTACAGCAGCCTGTTGCTCTGATCCACCCTGAACTCTGTGTTCAGGCCTCCCAGCGAGGTCACCGTCACTTTCGTGCTGCCCTCTGCGCTGTAGGTGGCCGCGCCGTACTTAGCCAGAGCCTGGAGGGCCACCACGGTGTCCTGAGGGACGGAGGGGTTACAGGAGGAACATAAATGTTGGTTTGAAGGTGTTTTAAATGTAACCTTAAAATATGTTTTTATCGAGATCTACACTACATCAGGATTACATGTTAAAAACAAACAAGTTATAGGATGAAGTGTTAGTTTTTCTGGAGTCTGTGGGAAGAGAAACAAACTGACCTGGGGTTGTCAGGAAGAAATGGAAGAGGTACTCAGAATTTATACTTTTTGTTGTTGTTTATAGGCTACTATAATTAAAAGCAGTGATACTCAATTGTAAAAATACTCTGTTACAAGTAAAAGTCCTGCATTCAAGATCTTACTTAAGTATATTTTGATCCCAATATTTTTGTAGCCAAGGTGTTAAATGGTGACTGATAGTAATCATTTTGTATTCTGCTGCTGAATATCTTAACCTATATTAGCTTATAATGTGTGTGTTCAAGTAACTAGTAACTTAAGCTGTCAGATAAATAGAGAGGAGTAAAAAGTACCACGTCTGCTTCGAGTAGAAAACTCAGGTAAAGTAAAAGTACCTGTCATCAGGTCAACATTTTGAGAAACCCCTCAAAATAGTAGTAGAGTATATGTCTAGGGTTTTATAACGGGCACCTGGTCTGTGGGTGTTTTACCTTACGTATTATAGTTGAGTGGTGCTCACTCATTAGGAGGGTGCCATCATTGCAAGCATTAACAGATTTTAGCAAGATTAATATACTAATTACTATTTTTGTATGCAATTGTTGCCTCACTTATCTCTCTCTAGACAACAGCTGATTTTTACGTTGCTACGCCAGGTGTCACTAAGAAGAGTTTTCCCATAAGCCACCTGTGTGTTATGTGTGTTACCTGTGTGGAAGAGAAGCCCCCGTACGGGTTCTGCTGCTGGACCAGCCAGCGCACGATGCTGGAGGAGTAATCCAGGCCGAAGTCTGGCAGGGCCGGACCGGAGAGCAGAGCCAGCAGGACGTAGGAGGTCATCTCCACCTCCAGAGAGTCCAGGCCTTTCCCAGAAGTCCCGGCTCTATCCCAGTGACGGGAGCCACCTGTCAATCAGAACAGTGGATTCATCCTTTAGAACGGTTGTAACTTTAAGACTATATAAAAATACATATATAAATATTTAACATATATAAAATAATGTATTATATGACATTATTGCCTCTGCATTGGATTATTATCGGATAGGGTAATACCTTCATAATTAACTACGTCTGAAACTTAAGCAGAAGTCTAGGGCAAATAATTGCAAGTCTCTTCAGTGAGAATGTCACGAAATGTTTTAAAAAGAAAAGCCACATTCTGGAAAAAATGTGAAAATTAAAAAAAAGTCAAATTTGAGATGCATTGTGGGACATGTAGTTTATGGGCAATGTGCCTCTGTAAAGTAGCATGTAACCGTATAATAAACATATCATATTTTTTGCAAGCTCTTGTGGGGCCACATAAAATGAAGTCGCGGGCCGGATTTGGCCCCCGGGCCTTGAGTTTGACATCCTTGCTTTAGAAGGTAAGCAATGACCGACCCTGTGCACTAGCTCGCTATGCTAGGCTTTGTAAGAGAACTTTTAATCGTCATTTGGCAATGTTTTTTAAATTAAGGTGGATAATCCTTAATGGAGGCTGAACTGCATGTTCTAAAAACTAAAAGCATTCATGTTTTCTTCAAGGTGAGTTTTGATTTCTCGTTGCACTTCAAACAGAAGCTATATTGTCTATTCTATGTCTTTCTTGTGACTACAAATGCATTTTAATCTGCGCTTATCTGTTCAGTCTTATTGCCTCTTATGGCTAGAATCTGTATTAAAATAACAACAATATCCTGACAAAAAAGAAATCTATTATTCCAACATTTAATTTTTAACAGTTTATTTCTTAAAGATAAATGTTATTATTTTTCAACTGCCTTCATTGCTTGAAAAAACTGCTTTCAGGGCAGAGTTCAGGCTTTCCACTTTAACTAAAATGTCACTTACGTTTAACAATTACTTGCAATCTGACGTAAAGGAATATTAAAGTAGTTAAAGAGAAATATGAATGTGTTCAAGGCTTACACTACAACATCTGCTTCCTTTCAGCACTTCCATTTGAACAGTTATGCTGATTTCGTTCAATATTGAATTGCTATTTGAACTTCACAGTTTTTTTAATACTATGTCATGCTACAAATTCAGCTTTAGTAAAACATTTTGATAAATGTCTCACTGTCTCATTGATATGAGACAGTGTTGTCAGAGGTCTAGCATTAACTGAGGTTCAGATGTTGCCGTCTTACCCTGCGTGTTGGACTTCTGGTTCAGGTAAGTGATGAGTTTGATCCTCATCTCCTCGTCTCCAGCCAGAGTGAAGGTGTAGGACAGCAGCGCGGTGGTGTACAGGTTTTCTTCTAGCTGGGAGTCCACTGATGCCTTCAGACAGCTCAGGCACCTCTGCACCACGGGGGCCTGTCACACAACCAGCACCCACACAGAGGAAACAATGAGCAGCAGAATATAAAGGAGGGCGAGAACTGTCAACCACAACAATGAACCATATTCATTTTGTATACGAATTTGAAGTCATTTGAACGGAAATATTCAACCACAGCCTATTTCAAGATGAAGAGTCAAAAAGAACACAAACACACATCTCTGAAAGAACACTTTAAGTAATAGATCAACATTTACTTTTTCCCCTGTTAATTATTTACAATAAGATATTCCTTTTTAAATGACAAGTTGCCACATTTGTGTTGAATTAAAGAGAAATCCACACTAAGAAATATACAAAGTTAGACACAAATAAACACCTGTGTATTTTGGATGTTTTGCTCTCAAAATGGTCTGAAAGAGGAGAAGTTATGGGAGCAAATAGCCCAAAGTTTTAATATTTACCAGGGCATGAAAACTATTTTAAGTGTTTGACTTAATAATTAATCTAAAGGATCCAGGTTGCAGAATATTTACAGTAAATGTATCATTGTTGCAGTACAAGCACTTATCAGACGAACATCATATGATAACATTTAAAATCAGGAATGCAACAGGTGGATATCAACAATGAAAGTTCATCAGAGTTCGAGTTGTGACCGAGACTCACGGAGGTGCTTGTGTCGAGCTCCAGCATGGCAGCTGTGATGTAGGCCGTCAGAGACACATCGTCACTCACTCCTCCCTGTTAGAAACATCACAGGAGGAACAGTCAGAAAACACACTTTTATTCATGTCACTGTCATTACTGGCAACTTAAAGAACTAAAAAATGCATGTACATGGCACACAAGTTGCTATTGCAGTTATGTTGAATACAATATTTACTTTCTAGGATCCTGCAAAAGCTGCACTAAACAGGTGTGGGATTCTTTACACTCAACACTATTTTATTTAACGTAGTTAAATCTACAACATTACATTTGACTGGGCCAGAAGAAAACCGGGGCTGCAGTTCTTTATAACAACAAACCTTATCTCATTTGCATCCAAAGTAAACCCCCTTCTTGTGATGAAAGTGAGAAGGGTTACGGTATTTAAAGTGTATGATTAAGTTAGATGTTCAAAATGTATTAAAGGTGTTACACGGTGAATGTGCCATGTATTCAGCAGCTAATGCTGAAGAACTTCCTAGATGGGAATCTCCGTGTGTGTGTGTGTGTGTGTGTGTGTGTGTGTGTGTATGTGTGTGTGTGTGTGTGTGTGTGTGTGTGTGTGTGTGTGTGTGTGTGTGTGTGTGTGTGTGTGTGTGTGTGTGTGTGTGTGTGTGTGTGAGAGAGACTGAGAATAATCCTTCGCTCAATACAGTAATCAGCTGACATTGAGAATGATCTATTTTCAGAGCTTTTTATCCAATACAACTACTTTCCAAAACACATAGGTACCGGCATCTGCCACACATCTTTCATTTATTTTGGTGTTAGTTGGCTTCATGAAATGTTGTAGTTGGATAGGCTAGAACTAATCAGTTTGGGATATTTCCTCTGCTGTTAGGGTGTGCTGCTTGCAGGCAGGCCTGGGGCTATCATCCCTCCCTGCACACAGCTCTCAGAGACAACATGCAATTTTCTCCTCACATTGAATTAATTCTCTGGTTTAGGTCTTATAGGAAGAAAATCACCCACGCAAAGCTTTAAACGACTAAAGGCAGATGATGTGAAACCCTATATTCCCAGCTAAAATGTCCAAGTTTCAGACTGATGTTGTCACCTTCATGCCGTTGTGGAAGAGTTTCCCCACAGATTGGATGCAGCCGTCAGGCCGCTGGAGCTTGGAGAGCCAGCTCCGGGCTTCTTGAATGTGCTTGTCTTCCACAAAGATGTACGGTTTCGCCCCGTCAAAGGACTTCATCACGAAAGAGGTCAGCCTGGAAGGATACAAACACAAAGTCTTTATAAACAAATCCAACCAAGTGGGCCTGTGTTCAGTTACCCCCAAATGAACCCTTCCTCGGAGCCCAGAATAACGATGGGAAGTAAAATATCCACATATTATATTCTGATTAGTGCTGTACATAGATTCAAAAATGTAATTGTGGTGATCACAATAATAATCTGTGATTAATCACATTCATTTAAATATTAGTATTTACTTGGAATGTTTGGGGGGGGATAAAACAAATACATGTGCGGTAACGGTTATAATAAAGAAATGCAAGTGGTAAGAGGGTTTTTCACTTTCATACAACATGATTTCTGAATTGTTGCTAGGAAGTTCGACAACTTCCCGACACTTAAACATCGGGAGCATTAATGTGGTAATGTGACATCCCTAATTGTAATGTTGTATTTCAGATGTAATGCGTCAAGAAATGTTGACAATAATAGATACATTACATTACTAAGCATTTTGTCTTTCAGTATTGGTCAACCCTGCTAATCTCTACTTTGACCAAATTGTCTGTTAAAGGAGATTATTGCCATGTTGTCATATACTCAAAAAACATTCCCGCAGCTGTATTTCCAAGAGTAATGAAAAAAATCTACACATAACCAAATGTGCAAATGTTCATATAAGATGCTGATAACAGTAGCTTGGAAAGAAATCTATAATAAAATTCATTTTAAGCCCTTTTTTTCAAGTTTATTAGACCATTCCACCCAATCTCTGTTTGGAATTCTAATTCAATTACACACTTGAGAGCCCTACTTCCTGCTCACCACAAACACACACCCACACCTCACTGACAAAAAGGGGAAAATCCACGTTTAAAAAAGAAATGTGGAAAATTGCAAGGTCTAGTATTCTTTTGTGTATATGCTCTGCCCAGAAAAAGGCCTCTTTACTGGGGACTCCCAACAAAAGGCCAGTGAAAGCTCCCTCAAACTCACACTGTCCCAACATTTCCTATTCTCCTTTCCAAATGTGCTTTCTGTATCGGTGGAATTAAAAACACATCATTTGTATTATTATTATTTTTGTATTATATAAATTATATTTATTATTTGTATTAATGTTACTATTTTGTCTTATTCCTAAATATTTCATCTAATTTACTTTGCACCTTTCAAATGTATTTTCTTTCAATTTGGTTGTTATTTCTTTGTACAGCCGTCTTGGTTTTTTAATAATTTAAAATGTATAAATGACACATCATAGAACAGAATATGTATTTTAAAATAGTAATGATAAAAATGCCTCTTCTAATTAAAACAGTTGTGTTGTGCTATATCCCAACAAAAAATAAATTACAAAATAAGGCACAAAAGATCTTCTTAATTAAAATATATGACACTGGTTTTGCCATCAGCTGTTAACAAATATAGAAAATGTTAGGGCTATTACAAGTCATTAGCTTTATCCTAATCATCATGTTGTTACAGATGTTGAGGAGGGGTTACTGACCAGGTGTTTCCAGATATATCGCTATTCCCGAAGGCGCTGTAGGAGCCGTCGTCGTGCTTGTAGTTAAGCTCCCTCTGATATCCTGCAACAATCACACACACATTTACGAAAAAGTCAGCTTTGCAGACAGACAAAAACAAAAGAAGAAGAGTGCTGGGGGGCTACACTGGTGAGGCCCAGTTGTTTCACATGCTGGTGAGACGATGATACAATCCCAGCAGGCTGCTTTAAATAATACATCAAGAGTCTGACGGCCTATCAGATGTCAGAACAGCATTTATAATACTTGGAGACGAGATTTAGACTAACTTTTCATTTTTTTCAAGATGAATGAGGTGATATTCATGTAACATAGGGATCTACTGTCTGATGCAACACCTTGTGAACTATTTTCCACTTTCACTGTCTGTCAAAGATGGCACTCACCGCTCTCTAAGAAGCGTGTGGCTTTCTCCTGAATGTCCTTGGTCAGCTGTTCTGTGCTTTTCAGGTAGTTGAGGATGAAGATGTTGGGCGCAAACAGCACCATGTTCTGCTCCCCGCAGCCGTACGGCATGGCCAGGAGCTTGTCCAGGTTCTTCATGGCCCGGCCCATCAGGTCCCCTGCAGGAGCAACAGGACAAATATAACACCCGCACAACATTTCATTCTTCGCAGGTTGGAGGGTGAAACAACGTAAACACCATAATTAATCTGAAAACCTTAACGCGTTTAAAAAACCAAGTTTGACCCAAACTTCCTCCTGTATTTTCAGCACAGATGTTTACCATGAATCTGGACAAGCTACATATAAAGTACAGACAGGAGAGCTCTCCATGACAAGGTCAGTAATTCAGAAATCTTGTTAAAGTTACAAAATCTGATTTCTTTCACCAGTTTGTCATGCCACCACATCTCTATTTGTTTTATCTCCCGCCAAAATACAAGTAGAAACTATTATTTTAAACTTTTAAGATTATTATTGTGATAAACATGATACAATGTTGTTATTGATTGACAGCACTATTAAAAATACAGGAGAAATGTGCTGGTAAATCGCAAGTATTGATAACTAGAGTTAAAAAAAGACAAGAGAGACTGTGTGACTGACCCAGTACAGAGACAGAGGCCCTGGCGGATCCAGCCACAAACATCTCGGGCAACAGAAGGGAAATGGTCTTCTCCACAGGGCCCTCTGGAAACAAAGAACAGAACAAAAGAAAAAAAAGGTTAAAAAAACAACTTTCCCAGCTTGAAAAAAAATGCCTGTATAGAGGCGTGTGGCGCAGTGGTTAGAGCCTTGGTGTTGGGATAAGGGGAGCACAGGTTCAAACAGGTTCAAACCCCACTGCAGTCAGCATGTCGTTGTGTCCCTGGGCAAGACACTTCACCCCAAATTGCTCCTGTGGGGATTGTCCACACTCCACAGTATTGAGTATGTAAGTCGCTTTGGATAAAAGCGTCTAACAAGTAACATGTAATGTAATGTAATGCAACTTAAAGCAGCAGCTAATTAGCTTAGCATTTAACCGCACATAAAGCAATAGCTTGGCATTCTTTTTGAATGGATTAACAACGAAAAAAAGATTAAAAACAACATGTAAAATGTTCATTAGTGAGTTTTAGAGAGTCTCTACGCAAAGCTAATAGTCTCATGGTTTCTTAGTGATGAATGTTTTTAACACTAACAACGTAGGGTTGTATTGATTCTGTGTATTTAGTTTAGCAACCGTATACAGCTGTTATTCTTTTGTTCTAACATGGTCAACTATTTCACACATACTCATCTGCGATCCGACAAATACAAAAGGCTTCTGAACAATGAATGAGGTGCAGATAACATTTTATCATCCCTCACACTCAACTCCTGACCCTGACTCTGGTCTCCATGACAGAATGAGAGATAATCAAGATGGCCGTTAACCCAGAGGCTTCACATTACAGATGCTGATACACAGGTTGTGTGTGTGCTCACCTGCAGGACAGAGGAGAGCGTTATGACTGACCATCTGTGGTGTTCCTTCAGCCTGGTGGAGACAGAGACAAAGAGAATGAGATTGGGTTGAAGATATACCACAGGAAAACTGGAAAGCATTGTAACAAGTGCAATCTGTGTGTGTATCCAGCTTCTAATACAAGTTATTCCTCGGGGTGCAAAAACTATTACAATTAATCAATTTGAAATAAATGCCTTGGGCACCATGTTCCTTCATCAACACAAACAGTTAATTTGGACTAATTCCCAAAACTAAATAACATTCATCGTCCAGCTGACCCAAACTAGTAAACCAAACGTGGATAATCCGCGTTGGAAATAGTCCCAACATTATTGACCATGACTTTCTGTCTGAGTTATGTTAAACTACAGCAACAAGCTGATTTGGAAAGAGTCTTTTTGCTGGTTTCAGACAGAGGGTGAAAAAGGGTGCAGTATGAGAAAGATATATACCTTTTTGAACATTAAACACAGTGTAGAGGCACAACATACAAATATTTAAATGAGCATAATAGGGACCCTTTAAATAAAGTACATTTATGATTTTCGTCTTCAGTAGAAAGAAATGGCCAACGTGCCATAAACAGGGAAAATAAAAAACTGCCAGTATCATTCATCAAAAAGACTGGACACAACAAAGCCAAATAACAAATATAACAGGGTAATACATTTGTGTTGACTAATGATAAAACAAATTATATTATTAAGTATTTTAAGTATATATAAATTCCTCTTTAGAGAAGGCTCTTCAGATGCAACCACACTACCAAACATGGTCTGCAGCTTCAGATGGTTCATTCTTCTCAAATCCCTAAAATAGGTAATTTCCCCAAATATTAATGAAAATATTGTCCATATCAGTAGTCAAACTCTTCTGCTCATGCCACCTTGTTTCTCCGGTGTGTTGTGTTTGACAGAGACTCACCTCCACCAGCAGAGTGCGGACCACCGTGTCGATGTTGCCCATGTCGGGGACAGTTACCACCTCGTTGCCACACCGTATGTTAGTCTTCATGGCTTCAGCGCTGACCTTCAAATTCACCTGACCTGTGGGTACACATACAGTCGTATTGATTAGCGCTTCCTGTCACCCTGTCACTTTGTGTGTACGGAGGCAGAAACAGTTTCCTGTCTGCTTTTCAACCCAACTCATTATCCTCCACACCTCCTGTCCGGTTTCCTTCCTCCCACTGTTTCCCCGTGTTATTCACCCTCATTAATCCCCATTTGCTGCCTTATTATTGCGCTCCATCTGAATAAATAAATTCAATAAAATGAATAATATCTCAAACAGTCAGACATTTTTTTATTGAAGCTGAAAGCTGATATCTTGCACAGATATTAAATTCAAATCCAGAACGTAATGGTGCCAAGGTGCCCCAAAAAAGAGCATTGAAGCTTACACATTAGGACCATATTAGTGTTTTAGTGTTCTAGACATCACTACTTCAAGCCACAACAAAGTGTTTCATGATTATCATTATTATACTATCTCCAATATGGATGTTGTTTTTGTAGTTTTGAAACAATTTCCCCAAAAATATTTAGAAACCTTATAATTTATATTTTTTCAATCAGAATTTGAATCTTAATTAACACCCTATGTATGACAAATTACAAAATAATTATGGATATTTCAGATGAGAGATTTTTGGGTGTATTTCTTTCTGTGATTTTTCTCACTCGTTGAAAAGGGAAAAGCTCACAAATGTGATGTCACATGTTTTTCAACTATCAGGAGTTTAATTAAAAAGGTGGATTAATAGGTGGATTCAAAATCAATAAGGATGTTTTTACAGCATATATTCACTTTTAGTGCTCTTTTTAGTCATACAAATCTAATGTTACTAAGCAATACTTCTAATCATGGTTTTTCAGGAGCTTTAAATGGTCAAAAAGGCCAAACTGTCGTTTTAATGTCCTGTAAAAAGAATTAAGCTCTTTCCACCGACCACCAAAGAATATATGGAAACTACGTGAAAAAAAACCCTGACTGCCTCATACTGTATAATTTGCAATAGCATGTTCATGTTTCTAAACGGAATGCGCCAGCCATCAGTACCTAGGGTGGTTGGAGTTACAATCCACGAGAAAGTCCTGCTCTCCTCCCCACACAAACACACACTGTACTGGCAGCCGTCGCAGTTTATGGAGGTATACTGGTCGGAATCAGCCAGAGTGGTTTTAACCTGCAGACACAATCAAAGACAAACATAATCAGAAATAAAAATATATAAAATACATATCCATTATCATCTGGCCGGGGACAACAGCTGGAAATTAGCAATGTTGGATAAAGCTGCCACATTTACTGTTTTTTGTGACAGTTGATTAATGGGGACTTTTCACGACACAATAAACAAATAAACTAAACTAAACATGTAAAAACAACGTTTTAAAAAAGACAATTTGACTACCCTATCCACAGTCCTATGTGTATCCATTCAAATCAATTACATCTGCAACAGCTAGAATATTTACCATAATGCACTTGGAGAGATAGTTGAAGACTGTTGCTTTAAGTGTAAACACCTCCCCTCGGATGACCGAGTAGGGCAGGGTGAGACTGACAAAGAACGGCTGGAAGGCGACAAGCGCCACGTTGGGCGCCACGCCGAAGCCCACAGATGAGACGCAGAACGCTCCAGCTGCCCACTTAGTGATGGTGTCAGGGACCGTCTTCTCCACGTTCATTGAGCCACTGTCTCTGTTCAAACAAACAAACAAGCAAGAGTCAAATCAAAAAGTAGCACGAAAAAATACATAGGCCTATGCTTAGCAAATTCCATGCATTGCTACTGCACATGAGATATTTAAGTGCTCAGTACATTTCAGTGTAAATATTCTTTAGTACAGCTGAAATGATCAATAAATAGTGCATTTGGTTGAAATGGAACTTCATTCCTGCCCAAGAAAACAACTTCTAACAAAACAAAAGGTCTACAGCTATGCTAGCAGCTCTGTGAAGTGCTTTGAGTTAATGCTAACATCAGCATGCTAACACTGTCAATGCTAAATTGCTAATATCAAACAGGTATAATGTTAACCACGTTCATTATTAGCATGTATCATTTGTTAAAGTTGTTTAGTAAATACAAAACATCCTGATAAAACATACAGTAGTTGCTAAGATATTAAGTCAAAAACGACTAATGTTAGCTTCTGTCTGAAGTTAAACACAAAGTTGGAATATCAGGCTTTGTCTGGGCACAACTTTCTCAACAAAATTAGCTAATAAGCAATAACACAAGTGAAAAGTACTTCTGGGGCTTAGATTTTTAGGTATTCATAAACAAAAGTATTGGATACATATGAATTTTTACTCCATGGTGGTGCAAGGTAAAAAGTAATTAAGTTATATCCACTGGGCACCATAAATGTATGTACCAAATTTGTGTCATAGGTTTATTTCACTGGGCACCATGAATGTCAGTAAGAAAATAAAGAAAGACAAATCACCAACGTTATGGTGGCCTCTGGGAATCATGAATGTCTGCTCCCTACTGAATTATTTCCACAACTATTGGATGGATTAACATGAACATTTATGAAATGATTGACCTACAGACAACGTCATCCCTAATCTTAACCTTATGTGACAAAAGTCATTAGGATGCATCCTCTGAGTAGCATGACTACCTGCTCCTGACCCGAATATCTCGACAACTTTTGTGGATAACTATTAACTGTACGATGTGCTGAACAGACCAAAATAGCCTTTGTGAGAGCCACACTGCTGTCACAACCAACACAAATACAAATACATTATTTAAACAATAGTTACATTTATAAAAAATAAAAAAAGGCCCCGGAATCATGTATTTCTGTTTGTATCCCTCCAAAAGGTCAGTATTGTATCAAACTTCATTATTGCAAGCACTATTGAAAAGTACTGCGGTGTGAACGTGCCTTGACAAAGGCAGCTCACACAAGATACATTTTTCCTGTTCTTACCTTTCACAATAAAATACCTAGATATATATGCAAAACATTTAAACTAGGGGAACTCAAATTCAGGGCATTTTGTTTAAAAAGGAACTAAAAAAGAAAATAGAGGATGATGTTGTACCATATTTTTTTCATATAAATTAGGTGACACTTATATTCCAACTTTCCATTGAACCAATTTTGCAACTGTTGCAAATGTGTAACATTGCCAGTATGGACAGTTTTGAAGCATTTTCAAATTGTACAACTTTGTCCATTCTTTATTAATTGAATGGAAACATACTTGGGATTTATAACCAGGTGTAATATTAATTATTGGCAGATTCTAAAGTATAACGATTTGCCGTTTGTTTACAGTTCAACATCATTTTTTATTTAATATATGGGGGTCATGGATTGTTTTTTTTCATTATTTAGACAGAAAATGTGATGGTTAATCATGAACATTGATTTCCTTTCAACATAAATAAACAAATTAATCGTTCTAACTGAAAAATAACTTGTTAATGATATAATGCCTATATTGTTAAACGTAATGTGTTTGCTCACACGCACGTTTGAAAGTCACAAATGTCTTGTTTTTTCTTCCTATTCATATATGTTGTTATTATTACCCCACAGAAACTAGGTCCCAGATCCAGGTTTCAGGGAAGAATGTCCTGAGAGTCTCTTTCTTCTGCTCCACTTCACCACCTGGACTTGCCATGGCCGTGATTGGAGAGTTTAGCCCTGGGAACACACAAATAAAAAAACAACAATCGAATTAAGCACCACCTAGTGTCAGCAGAAGGTAATGCAAATAATAATTCAAAAAATATGCAAAAACAATATAAAAATATATTTTAAGATCATGTTTAGTCATCTGATTCGTCTCTACATTGCTGTTTTAGTCTGCTTTCCAGAGTTCCCGCTAGCCTGTAATTACCGGACTATGACCGGTAAAATATGCTGAAGACCGGCAAATCTAAATCTCTCCGGTCAAAGTGTCTGGTCAAAATAATGTCCCTTTAGCGCAATACCGCATCAGTTGCGCCACTTATGTGACAGACAAGAATAGTATGTGACAGACAAAAGAGTATGTGACAGACAAGAATAGTCCATTCTAATGTCTAACACGTAATGTGGAGAAAGAGATGTCCTGCTGTATGGGTTGATTGTGCGTTGATCTGTTGGTAATGCCTCGGGGTTCCGGTGGGCATGTAAACGAATACATAGCGCCTTTGCGGTCTCACCCGGTTGCATAGCGACCATGGGCGGCGCTAGGATTTGTTAGCTGCAGTAGCTTAGTAGTTGCTATATGACAGCACGGCGTTGCTAGTTAATTTTCAAAATAAATAAACAAACAATACCAGTGGGCCAAGCACGAGCCTGTTCATATTGTAGCGTTCGTTCACCGCTATTCAAGATCACAGATCACGAGCCTTCAATGTCGAAAACGTTCTCTTTATTTTCTAGTATTGACGGCCACAGCCACGCCTTACAGAACCACACTCGACCACAACTCCTACCGTCTCGTACTCCCTCCACACTCACACCGAAAACGCACACACCTGGAAGGGGCGGTCTCTACTCCCACCAACAACATTGCCTAAATAACTTTACAAATGTACACGTTTTTAGTCCCAGTGCGCCACTGAACGTAGCTATTATGTAAGGTGCTGGTATATATATACTAACTGTGCTTTCCCCCCAAAAAAGTTGTAAATCAAACAAGTGAAGTACATGTTATGTTATGTTATAAAGCCGTTAAGGGCGGTAGTTTATAAACCAAATAGTAACCGCCCTTACGGGACGCTCTAATAATTAAAGCGAACGCACCCGCAAGGACACCTGGCTTCCTATTGGTTGAGGGATTTTGACAGGGTTGTTGCACAAAAGATCCGAGCGCGCACAGAAGAAATCTGAGAGCAGACATTTCACCAGCGCACAGAAACAGCCTGAATGCGAGGAGAAGGCTTTAAACTGGAACACAGGAAATCTGTAAGCAGCAATATATCTGAGTGCAAAACAATGGGGTTGCTAAGCCGTTGCTAGGCCAATTGTTGGAGTTGCTACAGCAACTCCAAGATACCCCCTGGCGCCGCCCCTGATAGCGACGCTTATTGTTTAGGTGTCTTTTAATAAGCAGGTAGTCATATCATTAGCTAGAACTAGCTAGATCTGATCGATATGGACATAAACGCGAGTAAAGTCTAATCTGAAGGGAGAGAGAGATCAGCTGCTGCTGACGAGTCGACACGCAGCTCTGCATGAACACATGCAGCGGTGAGCGGACAAAACACACACTTCAGGTTAGAATATCACACGTAGCTATTTTAATTTAATTAATTAATTAATTCTATTTTAATATTTTAATTTTAATTACCTCTCAAACTACCTAAACTAGTTATAGATATGTTTATTTTTACTGTCGGGTCACTTATTACTGATCCGCGAGCTGCATGATACTGACGGGCTGTCAGGAGAGGGAGAGAGCGCTCTGTTTATTATTCCCGTGTTATTGTAAATTACTGTACACTTTTGAATAGTTAATCTACTATTATTAGTTTGTTTAATATCGAATCATATCAATTTGTTTTAAAGCTCAATAAATAACAAAGAAGACCTTTGACCATCACTTTTCAAATTTTGTCCGCAAGAAAGAAAGAAAAAATAAAGAAAAAGAAGAAAAAAGATTCTAACGGGAACTCTGCTGCGTTCTTCCAATTAGTGTCCACAGTGTGCCTATTGAGCCGTGTTGAGCGATGTGGGACAAGCCCCGATCTAGCCCCTCTCTCTGCTGTCAAAATGAATGGGTGCTGTAAAAACTACACTGCGCATGCTCAGAGTATTTTTCTATTCAATGTGTGCGGCAACAAAATAATCACCAAGGGGCAGTGTGCTGACATACCTACCAAACGTCATCTCATAATTCAGAGAGCTGATTGGCTGTAAGTACGGGTGCCGCGAAAATAGTAGTTGTGAAGAGGAGACGAGAGAGAGCAGAGTATAGCGATTAAAATCAGTAAAACGGAAAGAAAATGAATGAAGTTGACCATCTACTTCAGCTTTGGTAAGTTATTTTATGTCATATCTTTTGTTGACCTTCTGTGTTTTGCCTATGATAGACGCCATCTTGTGCACAGAGCCTATTGCTCTGCTGGATCGATTGATATTGTGACCTCGGTTATGAGTGTCTGTGTGTCCCCCCCCCCCCCTCTCTATCGGAACCATGGATAGCCTACAGCAATTTCTTTACGTGTTTAAAAAAGCACCAGAAGTTTATATCTAAGTGGTTCGTGCCCCATCACTTTTGTACATATAAAAAAACGCCACTGCTGGCACATCCCCTTCCACTTCTGCGTCTGCTGTGGCGCAAAACACCTCTGATTGAGATAAGGTACACAACAGTTTCTGTTTCATTGGAATTTTTTATCAGATTGCTAGACTCTGTACCCAAAAACACATGCGTGACATGTCGTCATCAAAACGTAGCTCCATGTCAGCCAAGAACAAGTGTTTATTAATGCTATAAATGCATAAATATAAATATGAAATGAAAGTAATAGTTAAATCACATTTGACACTTCATAAAAAGTCAATGTGAATTTGTGTTTTTATAATATTTTTAATTAATAATTCTAATAGCAAGTGTTCATCAGAATCAGTAATTTGTCAAGACCGTCAGAAGAAGGTTTTTGTAATTTTGTTAAATAACTGCTACTCTTTGTTAAATGTGTTTATATATAATAACCTCAGCCAAATGTCATACAATTATATTTTTTGCCTTAGATTATGGATTATATAAACACCATAATCAGATATTTAAGAACTCTTGTTGAATTCATTTAATACAAATGGCATGTCAGGTGTATCTGACGGAGTTGACAAAATCAAGTTAGGAAATGAATTTAAAAAATCAATTGTACTAAAAAGTGTTTTTATCAAAAAAGGTGTTCCCTTACCTGATTAATTGGCTCATTCCTTTGTCTAATAAATATACCACATTCAAATAAGGGTTGTATTTAAAACTTGTTTTGCAACTTACCTCAAGAATCAGTGCTGTAATAGTGTACAGTATATTATATTTCTTGCCCTACTGTCAATAAGAATGGACAATATCAGTAGCAAACTATAAAACATACTCTCGAAATAGGGCCTTGGATAGCAGTCAATAGGTTTTCTAATATCGGAGTTGGTCACAATTTTGATCCCGATTCCCTAGAAGGGGAAAGAGAGAGATTATTAGTTAACATGCAAAATATGAAGTAATATTTTGTATATGATTGGTCACACATTTATAACGCAGCCACACCGTTTTAAATGACCCTGACAGAAATTACAAAAGGATACATTTTCTCCTTCAAAATTAATGTTATATCTATCAATCTCAATATCTACAGCCCATTATTTAAAACCAATAAAAAAATGACATGTTTCACTTTAAAAATGTTGTAGACGTCATTCTTCTGATCGTTCACTGGAAAGTAGTATGGGGGACTATCAAAGGGCCTGATTCCAGGCCTTGGTACTGGATGAAACTCGCAGGGATTGAACTCATCGTCTGCAAGCTCATAGCTGTATCCTGAGAGCTTTTGCACAGGCAACCGGCTGTACACCTGCATAAAAACACACATGAGTCAGGGTAAGTCATCAGTTTACACAGAAGGTAAAGATCAGTCCAAGTTGAGGTCAACATCATCATCATGTTCCTAATACAACATATTTTTTCCTTTTAAATCATCTTAAAAAAAAGTAAAGGTCCTTAGGGAGGGGAGGGCAGGAGCTCCAACAAGCCGTTTAGGACAGAGAGTGAATACACACAATACTATACAGAGATGCTGTATGAGAAACCAATGTGAGTTTGGAACATTGAACAATGTCAATCTATTCTAGTATACCTCAACAATGGAATTATGATCAGTAGAAATGTCCATGTCATGGGACCTTTAAGTTCAAATAAAAAAAGACCTGCAGTGTGGATCTGGCAGCTGACAGTGGAAAAAAGGTATTTGTAATGCCTTTATCTGGAGATCACAACTTGATTTTTTTGTTTCTATAACTGGTCAATTTATGTTAGTTTGCGGGAAAACAAAAGACTGATTTCTCAAGATAAGTAGTGTGAATAGTCAGTAGCTACACAGCTCCACAGGTCAGCTCTGCTGAATCTTTCTGTGAAAACTGTAGGCTATAAAAAGTGTCAAAAATGTAAGCTCTATGTTAAAAAACTGTTAACTTATAAATGAAAAGAACTGATCTGAATGTTATCTTTAGCAGAAAGTCATTGCATTTACCGATTCTGTAGAGTGTATTAGAATGATTTACAGTCAGATCAAGGACAATCATTACTGATCAATTCAAAAGATATTTCAGGGGCTATACTGTAGTATCATCCAATATCATACTATCATCCAATATCATGCTATTGCACTTGACTCCAGTATTAAGAGGAAGCAAAATAAATGTTAACTAGGTCGATTTGTAACGTTTTCTTTCTCTCTGTTCCATCGGGTTTCCATGTCTAGCATAATGGACTAGGCTACAACGACATTTGGTTGTGCAACCGTATGTTGCGTAATGAGAATCCTTGTTTTCTATCTATACTATTTTAACTTCTAGCTCCTTTTAAATCCATGCCTTGTTTTAAGCATTAAAAACATCATGCTCAGGTGTGCGTAAAGATATGATATGGTTTCATACCGAGTCAACAGTGAGTTCCTGCTCTTTCTGTAGCAGCAGGACGCTCTGGTCGATGGCTCTGACGGAGCACATGGAGCCTGGGTGAGCCTGCAGGGTGAGCGTGGTCTTCTCTGCTGGAAGCTCCTGGAGAGAGGAGAACCTCAGAGACACCTGCAGAGAAGACACCGAGGTGGGGAAGCATTAGTTTGACAGCCCAAAAGAAGTGAAGAAGTAAAGACCTACTGTATGGTAAAGACTTTAAACCATGAAGTTGAATACCTTGTTATTGAGGCAGAGACTGATTGGGAAGTCCATGCTATCGGCCACAAGCTCCCCTTTGGGCATCACAGTATAAACGACCACCTGGGCAAAAGGTGCCAGGTTTGTAACCTGACGCAGTGGCACAGACAACTCTCCTTTGTTGACTGAAGCATGACACACAGAGAGAAAAATAAATTACATATGAAATCATCACAATAAGCAAACACAAATAATGTACTCTTCTCATTCAACTAACATAATATAATAACCTGCGGAAGTAGCCTGATGCTAATGAAGGTACCAATAGGCACATACATATTTCTTCTTTTTAAATGCCCACCAGGTGGAGACTCCACTGGTTGCAAAAACTCTGAATGCATAGAAGTCTATGAAAAAAAAGTCCCTGATATAATAATTTGGTAAATATATTCTTTATGAGTTTATGGTTTAATTGAGTAGTTTTAATTATCTTTAATACATCATGATGTTAATTGTGTACATTATGATCCCATTTAGAGTCAAATAGACAATGAAGTAGGTTGTGCATTTGGGCGTGGCTACCTTGTGATTGGCATCTGCTGACAATAATATAAATACAATCATGACCAGACTAATCCATTTTGATGCCCATCTTAGTTTAAGTAGCAGTTGTTATTACCAATTTCCGGTTGAACAGCAACTGGGAGACTGCCATGCTGAACAATTCCACCCCTGGACATCACCTACGAAGAAACATGACGCAGGCAGATCAATTCAATAATTACATTAGATATAGTTTTGCAATGCATCCTACAGTCTTTCAAGTTCAGTCAGATATTCAATTAGAAAAACAAAAGACTGTCCAACTAGACAACAGCGCAAACAAACCCATGACATTTTGCAACTAACTTTCCCAGTCTGTAAGTGTGCTTCAGCTACAAGCAAAAAGCTAGCAACATGTGGATGATCTTTGCAAAACTGGTAATTACAATGAGCTAATACTGACAGTACCTCATAACTTATTACACGAGTCTTACCAGGTAAAAGATTTGGAGGATCTCCTGGTCGTCCTTCAACTCCATCCCATCGATGATGTACTGAGCACGCACCGTTGCGTCTTTGTCACAAGCCAGCTTCCCGTTCACCTGCATGAGTTTCAGGAAACTACTGCTCTTGGAATAAAATGGTATGACGTCGTGGTATGCAGTCCTGTACTCTGGTTTGCGCACGCCTGGCACATACGGCTCATTCACTTCCGTGTCTCTGGATCGAGCCTGTAGACCAAACAATCACATCTCAGGTTTTAAAACAACCGCCTTCACTTATAGAAAGGTGCAGTATTGACGTATTTTTGAAGTCTAGCATCTCAAGGGTTCTCTCGTCAAAAAGCAACAGGATTTCCTTATTGAATTTCCGTCTAATGCAGAAAATAAGCATTGTGGCCAACACAAGTTTTTTTACGCAGGATAATCTCCACATATTAACACCACTTTATGATTTTTGAAGAGTAAACAGAATCAGCTGTAAAACAAGTAAAAAGCAATAAACAAAACTACATGATGGAAGCAACCGCCATTTTTCTGACTCACAGAAGCTTTGGACATACGGCAGTGGGGTACTTACTGACATATTTTATATCATAGAACCAAATATGAAAATCTCGTAAACTTGTGTTAGCCACAGACTTTTTTTCAGGCTGCTAACCACAAACACATTGGAAAAAACTTCGAGACAATGTAACCGGAAGGGGTAAATTACCAAGTCTTTTCCAGATTGTAGGCCTTATCCCTGCACTCTATATACCTTTAACTATTACATATGAACCTTAATGATCTCAAAATGGGATTAATTAAATAAAAAATAATCTTGTTCACCTCCAACATGATCAATAGGGTGGAAAGTTTCTTTAACTAGATATGGATTGTATAATTGATCAATAGAGAATTGGTTATAAATAGGAAGCTCTTGAACTGAATTCATTATGCTGCAGTAACCAACCTGTATATTCACATTGCCCTTCCAGAGGGTGGTGTCAAAAGAAAACGAAGCCTTGCCATTCGTGCCTGTAGTCAGCTTGACTGATGGAGAGTTGCCAGCAGACACATACACGGCCTCATTGGTGACAGCTTTGTTGTCTGGACCGATCACTTTGACCTGTAAATAAGTGAGAAAGCAGAAGCTAAAAGATCTTCATCCATTCAACAAAGTGACACTTTCAAGTACTGTAACACTAAAATTGTACACTTTGCGATGCTGGTCATTTAAGGGTTTAAGCCTAAAGGGGTTATTCCCTCTGGTCCTCTGTGTGATAGGAATATTCATGTTCATATGGTAAATATTTATGCAGTATAAGCTAGCCTATGAGCAATGGCGATAATGGCCTACTTTAAATTCAGTAGGTGAACCTATATGTTCATAAAATAGCGTGAGCTAAACTGTATATATAAAACTGAAACAGAGCATTTTCTGTCAGCTCAGAATTCAGACTTTTTTAAACTGCATTACAGTATGTGCTCATGCGTTTCATTGTTGGTGTATAGGCTACTGCCTGAATATGCTTAATGAAAGACACATTTTTAAATATCGTCTTCTCTTTTCTAAGGTTACATTAAAATAAAAAACATCTTATTGATATTTTTTATCTTTTATTTATTTGATATTGAGGTTATACAAAAGTAACAAATCTGGTTACATTTCCTTTATATTTAGATACTCAGATTAGGTTACTAATTACATTTACAGGTCAATGTAACGCAATGCATTTTTTCAAAGATACCCTCCTAACTGTTTGTGGATAATTTCCCAAACTGTGGTATCGCTAACTATCCACCAGTCTAGCATGGATATGAATAAATATGTATCATGTGGTGTGGTGACGGCATCTATATGGTAGCTCCCAGTGGTCTCTCTCGAGACTAAATACCTTTCCCTCGAACAAGATGCCAGGCATGTATGCTTCAGGTACGTCCTCGAAGGTGACAGTTCTGACAATAGCGCTGAAGCTGGTGCGCCCAGTGCCTGTAAGAATGACTCCTAAATGGTAGAAAACATACAGATCACAGCTCATCAGGAAATAATGGTGATTTCTCAATGAACAGTCAATGCTCCTGTGTAAACAGCCAAGCTACCTGTGCCGTACTCCTCCAATTCTGCATTCAACTCAAAGCTGACATAGTTTATGCTCAAGTTGAGTTGAAACACTGCCAAGTTCACAGTTTGTGTAGCACAGCCAGCTTTGTCAGTCTGGAAGATAATAGCACAAGTCAATTTCAAACCAAAACATAGAATTAAAGAGAGAAATAACAGCATGTCTTTTATTAATCTGGGGTACTCACCGTCAGTTCATAAGTTTTGCAGATATCTATGTCCTTCTCCCTTTCAACCCAGAATATTTGGTTAGCAATTTTGCAAAAAACTGCCTTGACTGAACCGACAACTGGTTTCCCATAGGTGTATCTGCAGGAGGGGGCACACAGATTGAGGAATGCTCTTCAGGAATGGATAAATGGACATTTAAAATGTGTATTTATTGCAGTACAATACGTTAATGTTCATTAAGGTCCGAAAGCTCTTATTTATTAAGAATCGCACTTAACAGTACACACAAACTGCTAATTTCTTTACCAAAGAAAAACGACCATTGCTCCAAAAATACGTACACTTTTATTTTCCTTCCATCCATGATTAAGACATGAAAGTCCCTACTCAGCCTCCGATTGACTCACCTTAATATTTTCACCCCAACCGTGATATTTGTACCGACCTATAATAAATCTCAAACGGCATTCCTAATTTTTTGCCAACTCAACAGACAAACTCAACATGTACTAGCCAATCGGAGGCAGTTTGATGCAGGTCATGCCTTTGCTATAGTAGGAAACACTTTGATTGTTAAGACAACATTTAAAATCTAATTAGATTCAGATGGCTGAATTGTTTATGCTCAGTTTGTTTGTATGGCATTCTCTATTATCTAACATGTTACTACATTTGTGTTTTTCTATTGTTTTTAAGGTTTTCTACCTGGACAATTACTATAGATATCTACATAAGTCAACTGTTGAAAGGAGAAATAAATACAAACAAATAGGAAAGATTCGTCTATGCGTCCTCTCTTGCCCTCAAGCCTCTCATATTTGGGCAAACATTGAAAAAAGCCCAAAAATCCCCAAATAACTTAACAATAATTAAGGTTTGTTGCTATGTGGTTGTAATAGCTATACGCTGCTGTTTGTTGGTTAAGAATGTGTATTTGTGAAGCAATGGGCCATAGGACGAATGAGCTTTCGGTCCAGTGGGACATGTTTTGGACTATTGGGGTGTTGGCCTTCAGATACCAGAGAACGGTTTTCTGTGTGAAACGCACACTCAGACACCATTGCCTAAAACAGTTTTATACTCTTGCAAAAAAATGCAGTAGTACCAGTAGAGCTTTCCTTTTCGTTATACCAACATTGAGGAGAATTACATATCTTTTTCATAAAATAGCCACTGTGCTAAACTTCATTGCCATTGCTAACCACTGTCCGGTCCTTGATGTGAGACACTCACTTTCCACAAATCTTTAGCGTTGCCTCCTTGTCCAGGATGGAGATCACATTGGGCAGTTCAACCTTTACCTCATATTTTGGCAAAACTGAAGGAGAGGAAAATGATTTAAAAATCGAACTGCTGAAAAGGAACAAAGATCAAACATATCAATCATTTTGGTAATATTCAGCAAATAACTGCAGCAGACCGTATTCCTTGATGTCGAAGCTGTGGGATATTTGCTCTCCTTGGTCCGTTATGGCAGTGATCAGGTAGCTTCCCTGAACCGCCTCAGGAATCATGGGGTGGGAAATATCAAGGATACCGCTAACAAGGGTCCTATCCAACCACTGAGCAATGCGATTTGAATTGGGATCCTACATGAAGGCAGAGGCACATTTGAGGTTGAGTTTAGAACTGTGAACTGCGGTGTCTCATGGTATCTACAATCTATCTATAATAAGGCAACAAAAACCTTATGGATTTTTTCCTGCAATAGTTACATCTTTTAAAATATTCAGATGGCAGTTTGTATAAAGACATTATAATACTTGTGAAAGTTAGTGTAAGTTCATGTCAATGTTTGTTGATTGGATTGTATGTTTGGCACTACAACTAGGGGTCGCCATGATCAAATGAAAAGCCAGAAACAATGTTTAAATCCTGCCAATAGGGCCTTTAAAATGTTCTCAAAATAAAACACTGCATTTATGTACTCTATTAGTATAGAATTATAGAATTAGCACGCAATGTGTATAAGGGTCTTATACAGCAAGCATTAGAGACAGCTTCTCATACTATAACTTTGTTTCATTCTTACCTGGAGCTCCACCACTTTGTACTGAAAAAGAAAAGAACATTTTCAGTTGCATGTAGAATTTGTACATTATATGCAAGAAGAATACAACTGTAAAGCAAATTCACAGAATATAAATCATTAGCTTTTTCAATAGCAAAAATTAACAATCCACAAACAGGAGGAGTACTGGGTAATTGGCAAGATTTACCTGGTTGAACAGACACCAAAGTGCAAAATACAGAATATCAACATTTAAAAAAAGACACTTTCATTCACTTAAATGAAAACAGTCATAGTTTTGGATGCAGTTTCATAGCATTCAGAGCATTTGAAATGGTTACAATATCACAGCTAAATTAACTACTTTTAGCTTCCTACCCACCTGATACGATACATTTGAATTTATTTCAGATGTTTGGGTCAGATGCAGTGGCCGTTTCTCAATGTCGAGTATACCTGCTGCAGAGCCACTATTTCAAGTGTACTACATCATCAAGTGGCGCCGAATGCAGGGCATTTAACATGCATTTAAACAGTCATTCGGCTCCACTCGATGACGTAGTATACTTGAAATAGTGGCTCTGCAGCAGGTTTACTCGACATTGAGAAACGGCCAGTGTGTGCCAAATGAACTCTGACGGCATATTTATCACACTACTCCACAAGGCGATTCACGCCCACGCTGTCTTCTAAATCAACAAGCAGCTCTCCTTTCACCTCCCACTCTCCTGAACCAAAATAGACCTCGCTCCTCAGATTCACTGACTGCTTGGTAGAAATCGCACCAGATTGCAAAGTTCCCTGGTTGGAATAACTAAATATATCATGCGATATAGAATTATTTTGAAAGGCGATAACAAATAAATATACATACCAGTCGGGCTACAGGAATGAAATTGGAATCCATCGAGACAATTCGGAATTGAACTGTAAATAAAAAGCAGGAAACAAAAAAGAAAATAGCATTAATGTTTTCTCTGAACATAAAACACAAACAGCAATACATAACATCGGTAAGGGAAACAGAGAATCAATTAAATAAGACCCTACAGTACAGCCAGTGGGAGGAGGGACATTGATGGATAACTTGCATGGTACAAAGGCACTATTCTTAAAGGCCTAACTTAGATAACGTTTCTAGTGATAGCGGACTGTGTGAAGCTATTTTAAAAAGCATATTTCTGAAGTTTTCCTATTGCGTTACACTGTAGATGGGGAAGTGCTAGTCAGCCACAGTCTAGGGTTTATGAGAAACAATGTTTAAAAAAGGCACTGCAGCAATTAATATCTGCCTCTTTGTTAAGTTAGGGGAATTATTTAAAAAGAAAACCAGTCAAAATTAGATCAGCAGAATCTCTGAAGTAGTAAGGGACAAAAGGTCCAAAACACTGGATACTGTATATTTTTTAATGCTACTCTGTAGAATTAGTGATTCTTTTCTGGTGCCTGGAAAACCCCTGTATGTAATACTGGCTTTTCATGAAAAATCCCCAAACACAAGACAAAATAATCCTGATGACATCACTGAACTAGTCGTTTTATTGAAGCTCCTCCAGAGCCATGGAGTGGGTAGGGTCTAATCATAGAGGATGTTATGGTAAAGATGACAAAGACCTTCTTTCCCACTGACCTTTCGACACACAACCAATCAGATGAAAGCTGAATGAAGCTAGCAGGGGAGGTCACCATAGAAACGTTTCTTTAGGTTGTTTTATTTTTTTATTTTTTTATTCAACCCGATTGCGTGAAATGCCTTTTACTACCAAAGCACTTTTTGATTACATATGTACGGTACGGTGGCCAGCGCTCTTCAAAACCAGCAAAACACTTTTGCACATTTTCCACTGCAAAAAAATATATAAAAACAAAAATGTGCCCGAAAACATCCAAATGAGGAAACATCTTCACCAACTTCACGATACATGCACATCGTTTCCTGAAGGCGCCGCATAAATGAAACCCTGCAAACACAAAATGCTGCAAAAATAAAACGCTGCAAGTAAAAACGCTTTAAGTTGCTCAGAACACAACAGGGACACTAAAATGAATGCACTCTGGAGGGCATTCGAGAATAATTTAAACAACTGTAACTGTTGCTGGAAACTTTCCTAAAATTCCTATTTATTGGATTATTCCAACAATGTGATCGCACGATTCCTTCCAAATCTGCTGAAAGCTATAGGGAACGTATCCAACCTAGTCATTTCAAATATACTGATGACACTTAATTATGAAACAGACCAATGTCAACAAGCACTCTTCTTCCAGCTGTGCATCCCTTTTTAGTGTCCTCGTTTTCATTTGAGCTTCTTGCAGCGTTTTTGTATTTGCAGCGTTTTCAGTTTGTAGGGTTTTGTTTATGCCGGTACTTTAGTCAGTCATTTGCATCATTTCTTAAAGTGCAGTGTTTTTCTCCTAATTTTAGTGTTTTTGGCTTTTGTAGCAGTAGATAATAGTAGTATCATATTAGGACACCCGTCTCGTCTTTCTATAGCAAATATACCAAGGTAATATTAATTTAGCAATAACGTGGTGATTACAAAAATAACATTACATTAATGCACATTTAAAAGTTAGGTGGGGTTTTACTGCGTTTAATTGGTGATTTTGTTGTGATATTTTTTGCATTAAACCTCCACTAAGAACTCAACCACCATCTTTCTGTGTGCTGAATTTAGTTATAATTCCTAAAGTTGTCAAGTAGTGGCTCAGCATTATGTAGTCCAAAATTGTGCAAGTGCAGCTGAATCGGTGAGCATTGCAGATGGGAGAATGTGGGCTGTATGAACAGTACGACTGCAGCAGAGCAGTCATTTTACCACACAGCAGGAAACCCTAAAACTGAAGTACCACAACATGTGATACTAACCTTTCTGTCCAGGTTTGTAGATGGGTTTATCAGTCTGGATGATGTGGATGAAAGCAGGACGCTCAATCAGGATTTTGGTGTTCTTGCTCATCGAGACACCCTCAGCCGTAATAGTGACAATAATGGATGCCACAGTTCTGTGATGCACTGTGGGGACCTGTAGAAGAAGAAAACATACATCTTTCAGAGAGGGTATGTGACATGGCCCAACCTTTATTTACTTCTGCGACAAAGTGACATCACTTTGTAACACGTGTGCTTCTATTTACTAGCGCTAATCTGTAAGCGGTTGACCTATCACAACGAAGCCAGCCAGTTTACTAATCAGAGCAAACTGAATATGAGCATCATCTGTCCGCTGCTTAGGACATGTTACTTGATTTTCAGGTTCATATTTGTATGTTGTGCCTCTACTGTGACATGTTTACATGCTTTAATGTTAAACAGGGCCTTTATTTTTCCCCATAGTGCCTGTGCTACAGCACCTCTTTTCACCCTCCGTCTGAAACCAGAGCCCAGTCTGCTCTGATTGGTTAGCTGGCCAGCTCTGTTGTGATTGTTCAACCTTTTAGAGATGACGAAAATGTCCCTCCCCTTAGCCTATCATGTACAATGTGTTGTGTTGGAGCGCTGGGTGGGAGAGAAACTCCCTCTGGAGGGAACTTTGTGATTTTACCCTTTGCAGACCATTTACATGCACACAAACCTATATAACACTACAAGAAAGGGAAAACCCCAAAAAGCAAAACAGGGGACCATGTAAGGTAAGAACTGGGGTATTTTCAATGTAGATTGTACCTATAATTGTATACAAGAACTATTTGGAGAAATAAAAGAACAGACATGGTTAATCAGGAAATGTCGTCATGTGTTTTTACTTGCTAATGGAACTGCGATTATATAACAGGGACTACTTCCAAAATGTGGGTGTTGAAAGCCTCAGTCATGGAGCCAGCTGACTGATTAGGGGCGAGAGGAACGTGCCTTGAAAGCTCATGAATGCATCTAACCACTAACAACAACTTCCTGATCTTCCATACTCTACTTTGGCAAATGACTAAGAGCAGTTATACATTTTATTTGTTTTGACTGAAATTTGAGAAGACACTTTGCAAATTGCCAAAATGTGGGTGTACACATGCTGAGTCAGACCTGGAAGTTTAAGCAGCGATAGAAGTTCTTGTCAACAGCCTGCTCGAGTATGGTGGTTTTGCTGGGCCCCATCTCGAGGGTGATGGTCAATTTGACGGGCGTCGTTGGGCCGTCGATGTGAGCACACAGGGTCTCCTGTTGCCCTCCTTTCACCTGGGAGCTCACAGTCACTGCAAAAATACTGCAGCCAGAAAGAAGACATTACATTAGTTTAAAAAAAAGGACATGGTGTGCTTCACATCAGAACAGAAAGCAGGGTTTTTAGTACTCATTCTTATGCGTTTGGTTATTGCAAAAATGCTCCTATATCAACTATTGGAGTCATGGATCTTTTCTAGTACCCATTGAGGCTGAGCAGAAGGAAATAATTAGCCGTTATCACCTGTTACATAAATTAAATGCTGTGTATTAATTGTCGTACATCTGTGATTAAACGTGCCATTTTAGCTGTTTAAGTGCGTTCCCATGCAAAATGATGGTAACAATGCACCACGAGTTCCCGAAAGGTGCACTCATTCCGGTTAAAAAGTTGACTGTGGAACGCTAATCACACTCTACGATCGCCATCTTGGCTACGTAACAGTAGTGGCGCTTCCAGGCCCAATTGCGACAGCTCAAGTCAACACGGCACTATTTCAATTAAAGTTATACATGTGACTGTTTTTCTATATGTTATACACTTTCCACTCTACTGGTGATAAAAGCAGCCACTGTTCATTTTATTGGGTAAATTGAGACGTCTGTAATGATTTGCTACCACGAAAGATGAAGTCGCTAGTTAACTAGCTAGCTGAGGGTCTATCATTACTTCCAGTTAAGGCATAGCAGCCATAAGCGATTCGAGACAACACAACACAGTCCCACACTGTGCAGGTGTTCACCAAACACAACATGAACATGAGACTGAGATAACGTCAGTTTAGGTGAGGTAAAGGACTCGCTGAGCGATTAGATTGTAAACTTTAGTCTAAATTATCTCAGTGGGTCTCAAACGGTTTGGTCATCTATGTAAACAAATATTTCCATCTATTTAATATAGTTGTTCAAAATAAGTTAAATCATTCCAATGCCCAGTAAAAAATAATTCCAATGTCAGTAAAAAGATAAAAAAAACACAATTTAAAAGGGGAGTGATTAGTAAAATATGCATAAATAAAAAGAAAGAATGCAGACTAGGTAAGATAAAGATAGGAGAGAGGAGTATATCAATTATTTGTTATTGGTTGTGAGCATATTCTAATGGTTTGGAGTATCAAATAAAACAGGCTCACATGAATAGGATACTAGATAAGTTTGCGCACTCATTATATACATTACACATTTTTCTTGGATTAGTTAACACCATAGTCATTAATATATTTGTAGAAAGGCAGGGAATGGAATTAAATCGAGAACAATGTTTCATTGCGGAGGACCCCCTGTTTTGTCCCCCCCCCCCCCACTTCTCAAACCAAAGTTACACCCTTGGTTACAAGTAACAGTCCTGCAAACAAAATGTTACTCAAGTAAGAGTATTGGCCTTAAAATATACTTAAAGTATCAAAAGTAGAAGTACTCATTATGCAGATTGGCCCATTTTAGAATAATACAACGTTTTGATGAGTATTGCTGCATTCAAGTGTTATCAAAGCTGGTAAAGGTTGAACAAATTGTAATTACTTTGTACGCTGCAGGGTAGATTGTGAATGTATCATTAATCTAAATATGCAGAGTAACCTAACCTATACATGTAGTGGAGTAGAAATACAGTACACGATTTACTTCTGAATTGTAGCGGAGTAAGTACAAAGTAGCATTAAAGGTGGGGCAGGTAATTTTGGAAAAACCAGCTTGAGTGCACTAGAATTTGAAAATACACAGCCGGAAGAAATCTTCTACTTTCTTACAGAGCCCCTCCTCCAACACACGAACGCCAATGAGGGCACAAGATAAGTTTGTGCACAGATGGAAGGCTGACAGGCAGGTAGGCCATCCAGTTATTTTAGCCAGGCCGGTCGTGCTTTTTACAGTACTACGGCTTCCACTGATGACATTTTTTTATGGATTTGTTGTCAAAGCACTTAAGATATTCATTGCTATCGGGATGTTAAGAGCATTCCATGGAATATAACAAAAATTGTATCTCGAGCCGGTTTCTCAAACGTACCTACCCCACCTTTAAATGAATATGCTCAAGTCAATTACCTCAAAATTGTACTTAGGTACATTACTTAAATTGAGTTACATTACACCTGTTGGCAGCTTAAAATTCAAATGGTGGTTATTGCTAGCAGATGGGGGGGGGTACTCTCTGAGACATACACACACACACAAACACCACTATATATTGCATTACAGTATCCTGAGGCCAACAAGACTTTTTGCCTCTCCAAGACACGATACTGGATTTTAAGTCCTTTAGTGATGCCAAACATTCACCACATTGAATTTAACTTTGAGCCAACTTCATCTCAACCGTCAAACACTGCGTGACGGGACGCACATAGCAAACTTTTGCAAACAATAACACGAGTTGGGACAGTTTTGGGGAAAAAAAACATTGTACTCACATTCCATCGAGGAATGCAGATTGCACGAGCGCTGATGCGATGACGACCGCGAGCATTAGCAGCACAGGTGGCGGTGCCATGTCTGCACACCGGAGACAGAGCTTTGCAGCGGGGTAAGTTGAGCAGAGTGCACCGGAGGAGCCCGAACTTCCAGACCAACTGACTGCAGGCCGTATGCAGAGAGAGCGGACAGTGATGTGCAGGGCAGGTTGCTCAAACGTTGTGGGGATGGAGGCAGTGGTTGGCTTTTTAACTCCAAACCAACGCCACCCCTCCCTCTGGAGTCACTCCCCCACAAATCCGTTGGAGCTCGGCAGCCTCCTCCCTACCCGGCTGAAAAAAACCCAGCTTAGACCAATTTAGCTGGTCAGGCTGGTCAGGCTGGTCAGCACCAGCTAAACCAGCCATCCTGGCCAGCTAAAAAAAACAGCATAGACCAGCATAGTATGCTGGAATGCTGGGCTGGTCACCAGCATCCATCTATCACCAGCTTATGTTTAATAATAGTATTAAATATACCATGCTGGAAGCTTACCAGGATTCCAGGTGACCAGCATTCATTAATAATAATAATGCATACATCCTCCCCGGTGTCTCTAAGATAGCTGAGAAATGGTTGTCAAAACTAATCACCAAACATTTACACAAAGGTTTCGCTTTGACTAATGAGAAGAATTAGAACAAGTCTCCCAGTTCAAGTATCTTGGAGACATATTGGACTCAAACTTAACTTTTAAGAAACACATTAAGAAACTATCAAATACTATTAAATTCAACTTGCAACATGTTAAATAAATTGGACCCTTCTTAACTGTCAATGCTGCAAAGTCATACCTCCACTGTATGATTCTATCCCATATTGAATACTGTCTGACAAACTGGTCGTTTGCTTGTGCCACAAACCTTAAACCAATAGAACAGCTGTACAAGAGAGCTAACAAGGTGTTTGACAGAAAGCCATATTCATACCACCACTGTACCATCCTTGAAAAACACAATTTCTTGAGTTTTGACAATTTTAAGTCTTTTAAAAGTAGGTGCTTTATTTATAAATGTTTACATGGATTGGCCCCCCTCCCTTAGGGGAATTCATCCACAAAAAAGATACTGGACGCTGCACTAGGTCAGAAACCAGAGGAGACTGAAGTCCACCGCAGACGGACCACTTTTGGACAAAATGTCCTTTCCATTAAAGGCAGCTCTTTCTGGAATAGCCTCCCAACTGAGATACGGGATTGTCCCACTCAATAGCTTCAAAGGTCAACTGAAAGAATGGTTGAGAAACAAACATCCGTGCAATCACCGCGAAATGCAATTTAATACAGGGGTATCTTCTCTCACACTTTATGTATCTCTTGTATCTTCTCTTGCCGCTTGTATCACCATGTGATAAATATTTGTTTACTGCTCTTGCTCTTTTTGCATATCATGTATTTGTTTTTGCTATGTTTGTAAAATGAAATGTTCTTAAATGTTTTATGTCAGGGACTGCGGATGGAAATGAGCTCAAAGCTAAATATGGCATATTTACGCTTGACACATTTTATTGTTTTAAGTGTTCATTGATGTGCATTGTCCCTGCTAAATAAACGTTTAAATAAAAAGTATTTCAGTGTGATTTATGGAGATTAATGAAGCATATAAACACCTATTGGTAGTTATTCAGGAAAAAATAATCTTTTAAAACTGACAGTTTGATGACTTCATAATATCAATTTACTGTCAAAGTACATTCAAGCAGGCTGTACTTAACATACTGTACACAGTTGTTAGTGATACTGTGTGTGTAAGTATATTGGCAGCTACTGAACACTGTCATAGTCTATGTGAACCTAAACATACATTTACCATGGCACCCTGCTGAAAAAAACAGCTTAGACCAGCTAAATGGACCAGCCAGTAGATATTAGGCTGGAATGGTTGGCTGGTTTATAGGGGTTTTGTCAGGGCCGGCCCTTGGCATAGGCAGTATAGGTGAATGCTAAGGGCGCATCAACCCATCGGGGGGCGCCGAAAATTGGGAAGAAAACAAAAGGAATTTTTTTTTGAAATTATATTTTTTTATTTTTTTTATTTCATAAACACAATTTCCCGATTTTGGATCAACAAAGTACATCTTATTGTCTTGTACTAACAGAACTACGCCTATATTGCGTACACCGCCCATAAACTATGGCACCCCCCCCCACCCAAAAATCAAGTTGAACTGCCCCAGCCCCAGTAAAAAACAGGTTTATGTGAAATAGTTCTTTTTTTGAAATAATGGTTTTAGTGTGCAATTATAGGTTTTAATTTTGTATTTGTGTTCATTTAAAATAAATCGAACTCCCAAAAAACGTATACAGCTTCTGTATGCTTTTATGAACATTGGAATTTACTGTGTAAGCGGCCGCGGGGGGAGAGCTTTAGAGAGCTCTCTCCTGAAAGACTGAGAGGCTCTGATAACCTCAGTTCAGTGAGGTAAAGGCACGCCTTTATTATGATCATTATAGTTATAAAAATAAATAAGAAAACAGATGAAAAACAGGTATAAAATACCATATGACAGTACAAAAAAGTTGTTATTAATAAACAAGGATACAGTTTAAAAGGGGAGTGATTTGTAAAATATCCATAAAGAAAAATAAAATCTGCTTACAGTTCCGTTTTATATGGGAGAGATGTATCCATAGATCTCTTAATTTTGCTCTCAAAGTGCACCAGATTGATGCTTTTAACTTCAATATAAAAAAAAAAATCTTCCTGGGGGAGCCTGGACCCCCTAGAGGATGTTAGGTCCACCCCCCGCTTAAATCATGTTCAAATGGATAGGATACTAAATACAGTTGCACACATCTTGTGTCCATATCTTTCTGTTTTGGTGGTCATGCCACAACCGTGCATGCGCGAGTCATAGTGAGTGTCTGCATTTGGGGAAAATCTAAAATCTTGCCTAGGGCAGCAAATTGGTCAGGGCAAGCCCTGGGTTTTGGACACTTTAGCTGGCCAGGATGGCTGGTTTAGCTGGTTTAGCTGGTGCACCAGCTAAACCAGCTAAACCAGCTAAAACAGCCACCAGCTAAACCAGCCATCCTGGCCAGCTAAAAAAAACAGCATAGACCAGCATAGTATGCTGGTCTATGCTGGGCTGGTCACCAGCATCCATCTATCACCAGCTTATGTTAATAATAGTATTAAATATACCATGCTGGAAGCTTACAAGGATTCCAGGTGACCAGCATACATTAATAATATTAATGCATTTTATTTATGGGCGCCCTTCAAAGCTCTCAAGGACACATTACAAAGCATAATTAAAAACAAGCAACACAGAAAGTCAAACAGTAATTCGAGACTTAAAAAATAAAGAATTAAAAACAACAATCAGTTTAGAGGAATTATGATATTGAATACCCCAGTTTAAAAAGGTGGGTTTTCAGGCAGGATTTGAAGGTTGAGTGAGTCCATATTGCGGATGTCTTGTGGGAGAGAGTTCCAGAGACGGGGGCAAAGTGGCTGAAGGCTCTTGACCCCATTATTTAAATACTGGTATGATTATTTAAACCAGAGAACATAGCTTTGTAAAACAGTGCTGCCCTCGTTTTAAGTTAAGTTGTTGTCGCCACAGTTCCAGCCTTTGGTCTGCAGTGGAACGGACTACGTCAATTTCTAAACCAATATAATTATTTTTAATCAATATTGTGAGTTGTTGGTTTATTTAGTATTCTCGTCGAGACGCCGGTTGACCATGACAGTGTTCTTTTTTCATTAATGACCGTTTCAATGCACATTATCCCTTACTTATACAGTATGTCACGTATTCCAGAATGTCTTTTTACAGCCCTAAAGGATAAGATGTACTATTGCTTTCAATAAAAGATGGCCATAGTGTGCAGGCATCACATGAGTGATTGATTGATTGATTGAAAAGTTTATTAACAGCTAGTATATTGGGTACAGTACAGTACAGCTCAAAATATACAATTGTTAAGGGGATGCAGACCAGAGAAAGACTTTCGTCTTGTTTACATCAGGGTCCCCCATATCCAGTTCATCATATCATTTAAGACATATAAGACATATTTGACATACAGATGGTTTATTTACAATTTATATACAGGTGGTTTTTTTACATACAGATTGTGTAAAGGAAACTTCTGTGTAGCTATGCAGTGGGAGTCACCGACTCAGAAAGGAGACACGGTAGGAGCAGTAGCTTTGATGTCAAAACACTGATGATTTATTGGAGTTTCGGCCGGAGCATTCACATCACAAATCACAGCAGTCCCGGTGAGACTGCACGGGTGGGTTGCCACGTCAATTCTAAAGAACTCTACCTCAGACCCATGTATTTAACTAGTTCTGAGAGCATCATCAAACTGCTGCATAACAAGATAAAATCATAACACCTCTATCAGCTGACGTCAACAGGCAGGAACATAGAATCATAACATCTCTATCAGCTGATGCCAACAGGCAGGAACAGGGAGACAGAACACTGAGAGCACAGCAGCCAAGGTTACGAGGTGCGTGTGCTCAGTCAGGACAGTTTGAACTGATAAACTGGGTCAAAGTTATAGGCCTTGGAAAATATTTCCACAACAGATTGCTTATTTACAATTTTCATTTTAGATTTCGTTCTAATACATCCTAACCGGACATTTAAGACATACCAAGTCTACAGATATACAGTTAGTAACAGAGTCTAAAATGTGAGTATATACATAGATGGGGGGGGGGGAAGCTGTCCATTGAACGACAGGTTGAGATTTGTACCATTACCGGGGCCAGTTTTGCAATGCTCTCCCCCGAAGGTGCTCTTTAAGAGAGGTTTTGAAGGTAACTATAGTTTTACTTTCCTTTACAGTTGTGGCAAGAGCGTTCCACCTTGATGTGGCATAATTGCGAAACGTGTATTCCCCCTTTTTTGTGCCAAATCTGGGTTTCACATGATTTGTGGAGCTCCCTCTGGTGTTATGATCATGGTATTCCTTGACCTTTGGGAAGAATTTTGACATGTACATGGGTACCATAGAGGTGTAGTGGATCTTGTAGACCAGGCCCATTGCAAGTAGCTGTACTCTGTCGTCTACTCTAAGCCATCCTAGGTTGTCAAAGTGGGCAGAGGTGAGGTGGGTTCTAGATTAAAGGTCAAGCAGTAGTCTGACCAGTTTATTTTGCGATGTTTGAAGTTTTATTTTTAGCGCCTTGGAGGTGCTATGGTACCATGACGTGCAAGCATAGTCATAGTACCCTTGAATGAGTGCTCCTGCCAGAGTTTTCAGGGTGTATTTGTTTACCAGAGAGGAGATCTGCATTCAATTCC